GTAAAAGTTAATAATAGAGGCAAGTGGTCCAACTATGGTAGAGTTTCTATTGAAATAAATGTTCTTTCATTAATTGTTTATGTTATTTTAATCTAATGTGTTGGTCTTGTTTCGTGGAAGTATGAGATGAACCTCTCTCTCTCTCTCTCTCTCTCTCTCTCTCTCTCTCTCTCTCTCTCTCTCTCTCTATCCACACTCTTACCAGGCCATACGAGTACAAGTCAGTTCATACCCTCTACTCAAGTCAGTCCTTATCCTCTAGTGACTCTAGCCTTTCAAGTACAGCTGTTATTAAGACACCCACTCAAACCTTAACCACTTGAATAAAAAAAAAACACACCCTGACTCTCCTCCCGTCCTATATGGTGTAGTTCCTCTCTGGATGTTTAATATAACATCACTGGCGGGGGAGAACAAAAAGTTCCCTTCAAAGAAAATGGGGAAAAAAGTATAAATATTCACCCGACTGAAGTCACTTGGGTGGAGCTCCGTTGATGTGAAAGATGTTTGGGTAAGAGGTGGTGGTGTGGCTAAGTAGGGGGGGTGTGGAGGAGGAGGAGTGTTGGGGTAAGGGGGAGGGGGAAGGGGAAGATGAGAAGGAGGAAAGAGAGGAGGAGGTGAAGGAGGAGAACTGATGTGAGTAAAGGGAGGCCGTGGTGTGGGTAAGATATGGAGTAGGCGGGTGGTGTAATTTTCCTCTAAAAGATCAAATTAATCTAAATATCCAAGCCAGACTTTAGGCACACGTGACGTCATAGATATGGAAACACGTGACAGCCACATGACGTCACTGAAAAGGAGACACGCTATTGGTGGAGGGGCACGGTGGAGGGTGAGACGTGAATGGACAAGTGGTCTGATATGTATAATGAGTCATGTTTGTACTGCTCTCATCTCACTCCCTCTACTGTTATCTTAAGTAAACAGGAATTAAATAGTTGTTAGCTCAGGAACATGTGATACGTGCTAAGGTAGGGGCGGGGGTAGGGGGGGAGAGGTAGTTCTTAATAATAGTCGAACAGTACACACACACACACACACACACACACACACACACACACACACACACACACACACACACACACACACACGTGCGAGTAATATTTGTAAACACACACACACAAAATATACAGAAATATGCCTCATTAGTAGACACACTTAATGTATCTAATCATATTTTGTTGGCAATGTTCTTCCAATACATCACAAACATATATAATGGACACTTATACACTGTAGGAACTGATATATTAAGGTACCGTCCCATAATAGGTTGCTTACCCTCGGCCCGGGACACTCTTCTTCCAGGACATCTCAAATGGAGTCTAAAAATTCCTGTATCCACAACAACCTCACCCTGTGTTGTGTAGGCCAGTGTCAAGGACTAACATGAAGGGTCAGCTGCCCCGCCAATTCCAAAGTTTAACTATTACCCTCGGAAAACGGAGCACGATCTTCCAATCAATTTATATTCAGCGTCCCAATCAGTGTTGGGTGTACAGAGGCAAATAGAGCCAACTGACTCTTCCAGTGGTCTAACTCTCAAGGGAAACACACCCGGGACTTCTCTCTTGCAAATCGAGTGTGTTCACCACCACCTCAAGGACAGTGAGATTGTTAGGACTCTCTGTGTGTTGACGAGTTAGTTGATGTGTTAAGAATCTTATGTTGAGGTATATTTTTGTGTTAGTTTGTGTTATTTATATATATCTATGTATGGCAGCAGGATAACAGAATATTTATTTAAGCAAGGTTCGCCAACATAAGCCCTAGGTGCTATGCTGTACGAGTCAAAGGTCAAAGGTGAAGGTCAGTGTATTCTAGTCCCTTTAACAATAATAACTTGATGCACCAAAAATATATCTAATATGTCTGTATCAGAGAGAATACAGAACATTGTGTAGTGTTGTAAACTCTTCCATTACAGAATACAGTTAACAGTAAACTAACTCCTTTAGTACGATATCTTAAAGCCTTCGAGTACAATAACCTATTCCTCGAGTACGATTCTATTTTATTCAAGGGGTTAACTCATCGTACTCAAAGGGATGACTGAATAACTACATGCCTTCTATGACCACATGTTATGATTTGGATTTCTGGGAAGGATTTCAGTAACTGAGGCTATAATCACCCTCCCTGACCATCTGATTGTCGTGGTGAGGATAAGGTGAGGATATGGTGTTGTCTACTGTGAGAATTACTGTGGCGGTAACTGGGCTGGGGCGATTAACAGTGGTGGAAGGCTTAGTACACGTTAAATGGGAGTTTGACTGATACATTGTAGAGTTCACGTCGAGGTTTGTACTGTCTGGCTCTTTGTCTGTTTCGCATTCTTTCCACTATCTCCCTTGTACTATCCGTCCCCCCCCTTACATTTTTGTTTACTTCACTTCTTCCCTTTCCTCCCCCTTTCTCTCTCCTTTTCTCCCTTCCACTACTTCTTCTTCTTCGTCCCCTCTTTCTCTCTCCTTCTCTCCTTCCACCACTTCTTCTTCTTCGTCCGCTCTTCTTTCTTCTCTCCCTTCCTCTACATCCTTCTACTCTCTCCTTCTGTCTCCTCCTCTTTATTCCCTTCACTCCTTCTCTCCTTTCCCTTTCTCTCTCTATAATCTCGTTCGTCCCACACATAGCAGCAACGGTGGAAAGTGTTAATTGCCACGTAAATTCAGAGCAATATTTTGGGAGGAGGACGCCATTAGTGCTGACGACCGTACACGCTTTCTCTTGATATACACAGCGATAACTTAGGCTTCGTTCCAGCGTTCAACCGTGACTCACTAATCAACAGATTCGGACACGATTCGAAGCTTAAACCAGCATGCTCGAACCTAAGCTAACGAGAGCTAGATATCATACAGACGTAATCAACCTAACCTAACCTAACCTAACCTAACCTAACCTAACCTAACCTAACCTCAACCTAACCTTGATATATATTGAACTACAACCAGATGGGACCTGGTACGCTATAGCTTGGCCCCATCCAGCCCCGTTCAGCCCAGTTCAGCCCATTCCCGCCCCGCTCTTCCCCGCACAGCCCCATCCAGCCCCGTCCAGCCCCGTTCTTCACCGTTCAGCCCCGCCCAGCCCCATCGTTAAATGTCTCGTGTTGTGTCTCGCTGGGGTGTGTTGTCGGGACTACCTGACCAGGGAGCGGGGAGGCGGAGGTGATTGTTCGGGGAAGAGAGGGAGTTTAGCTGTGCATAATGTAAAGGCACAGTAGTTTTGGTGTGTATGTATCTATATATTCGTGTTTCTCTATGTACACACACACACACACACACACACACACACACACACACACACACACACATACACACAGTTAGAGGGTATTCACATGCATCTTCACTAATATATTGGCAAACACCAAAGTTATCTCTCTCTCTCTCTCTCTCGTACCCTACCCGCATTGCAGTGTCTATTTCCCTAGAGGTTACATTCTGCTGATCGGGTAGTAAGGTGATCAACCCACATAAAGGTTGTACCTGGATTGTGTGAACCTCCTGTGAACTGTACCATAGTTTTGTACAATTGTCGTTTAATGTCGTTTCTCAGAGATTTGTACGTTCAATTTTCCTCGTAACTGAATGTATCTAATTGGCTCACTTAAGTTAAAACACGAAGGGTGATTCTCAAAGATTATTAAATTAAAATTTTTATCGTAGTTGGAGTTAAGTGAACGTATCTATCTCACTTAAGCTACTGTACAAAATGGTTTTATTAAAAATTCGTTGGGTGAATTTTCCTTTTAAGTGTGAATAGAAGAATACAACTGAACTTTATACTTAAACAACAACGTAAAAATGGCATCAAAACTACACTGAGACTCTAACCCGATGTTCTCACTTGACACCAGAATGACGGAGAAAGTATATCTAGGTTTTGTTGAGTATTGGCACGTTAGTCCTGGGGTACACTGGTTCAGTGCTGCGTGGTCCTGGGGTATTGTCCTGGGGTCAGTCGTCCTGGGGTACAGTGGTCCTGGGGCACACTGGTCCTGGGGTACAGTGGTCCTGGGGTACATGTCCTGGTACAGTGGTCCTGGGGTATGTACTGGTCCTGGGGCACAGTGGTCCCTGGGGTACAGTGGTGCTGGGGTACACTGGTCCTGGGGCAGTGGTCCCTGTACAGTGGTCCTGGGGTGCAGTGGTACTGGGGTACAGTGGTCCTGGGGGCAGAGGTGCTGGGGCACACTGGTCCTGGGGTACAGTGGTCCTGGGGTTAGAGTGGTCCTAGGGTACACAGTTTAGGGTACAGGTCCCTGGGGTACAGTGGTGCTGGGGTACACTGGTCCTGGGGTACAGTGGTCCTGGGGCACAGTGGTCCTGAGCACATTATCCTGGGGTACACTGGCCCTGGGGTACAGTGGTCCTGGGGTACAATGGTGCTGGGGTACAGCCTGGAGGTACAGTGGTCCTGTACAGGTGGTGTCCTGAGTACATTATCCTGGGGGTACACTGGTCCTGGGGTACAGTGGTCCTGGGGTCACACTGGTCCTGGGGGACAGTGGTCCCTGGGGTACAGTGGTTCTGGGGTACAGTGGTCCTGGGGTCATACTGGTCCCTGGGGTACAGTGGTCCCTGCAGTGGTGTTGGGGCACACTGGTCCTGGGGGTACAGTGGTCCCTGGGGTACAGTGGTCCTGTGCAGTGGTACTGGGGCACAGTGGTCCTGGGGTACAGTGGTCCTGGGGTACAGTGGTGCTGGGGCACAGTGGTGCTGGGGCACAGTGGTCCTGAGGGCACAGTGGTCCCTGGGTACAGTGGTGCTGGGGTACACTGGTCCTAGGGTACAGTGTGTCCCTGGGCAGTGGTGCTGGGGCACACTGTCCTGGGGTACAGTGGTCCTGGGGCAGTGGTCCTGGAGTACATTATCCTGGGGTACACTGGCCCTGGGGTACAGTGGTCCTGGGGCACAGTGGTGCTGGGGCACAGTGGTGCTGGGGTACAGTGGTCCTGGGGTGCAGTGGTCCTGGGGTACAGTGGCCTGGAGCAATGCTTATCCTGGGGCACACTGGTCCTGGGGTACAGTGGTGTCCTGGGGCACACTGGTCCTGGGGTACAGTGGTCCCTGGGGTACAGTGGTCCTGGGGCACAGTGGTCCTGGGGTATACTGGTCCCTGGGGAGTGGTCCCTGGGGTACAGTGGTGCTGGGGCACACTGGTCCTGGGGGCACAGTGGTCCTGGGGCACACTGGTCCTGGGCAGTGGTCCTGGGGGCACACTGGTCCTGGGGTACAGTGGTCCTGGGGTACAGTGGTCCTGGGGGTGGTCCTGGGGTACCTGGGGTACAGTGGTCCTGGGGTGGTCACTGGGGGTACAGTGGTCCCTGGGCAGTGGCCTGGGGGTACAGTGGTGGGGCACACTGGTCCTGGGGGGCACAGTGGTCCACAGTGGTCCTGGGGTGGTACAGTGGTCCTGGGTGCAGGGGGCACAGGGTGGTCCTGGGGTACAGTGGTCACTGGGGCACCCTGGTCCCAGTGGTCCTGGGGTACACTGGTCCTGGGGTACAGTGGTCCTGGGGCACAGTGGTCCTGGGGGCACAGTGGTCCTGGGTACAGTGGTGCTGGTGGCACAGTGGTCCCAGGGCACAGTGGTCCTGGGGTACACTGGTCCTGGGGTACAGTGGTCCTGGGGGTATGGTGCTGGGGCACAGTGGTCCTGGGGCACAGTGGTCCTGGGCACAGTGGTGGGGCACACTGGTCCTGGGGGTGGGCACACTGGTCCTGCACAGGGTCCTGGGGTACAGTGGTCCTGGGGTACAGTGGTCCTGGGGTGCAGTGGTCTGGGGTAGTGGTCCTGGGGCACAGTGGTCCTGGGGTACAGTGGTCCTGGGGCACAGTGGTGCTGGGGCACACTGGTCCTGGGGCACAGTGGTCCTGGGGCAGGGGCTGGGGTACACTGGTCCCTGGGCACAGTGGTGCTGGGGCACACTGGTCCTGGGGGTCACACTGGGGGTCCTGGGGCACAGTGGTCCTGGGGTACAGTGGTCCTGGGGTGCAGTGGTCCTGGGGTACAGTCCTGGGGGGTCCTGGGGCACTGGGGCCCTGGGGCACACAGTGGTCCTGGGGGTACAGTGGTCCTGGGGCAGTGGTCCTGGGGGCACAGTGGTCCCTGGGGCACACTGGTCCTGGGGCACAGTGGTCCTGGGGCACACTGGTCCTGGGGCACACAGTCCTGGGGCACAGTGGTCCCATGTGGTCCTGGGGTACACAGGTCCTGGGGCACAGTGGGCTGGGGCACTGGTCCTGGGGTACAGTGGTCCTGGGGTACAGTGGTCCCACAGTGGTCCTGGGGTCAGTGGTCCTGGGGGGGTACAGCACACTGGGGCACAGTGGTCCTGGGCACAGTGGTCCTCAGTGGTCCTGGGGCACAGGGCAGGGGCACACTGTCCTGGGGTACAGTGGTACAGTGGTCCTGGGGGTCAGTGGTCCTGGGGCACAGTGGTCCTGGGGGTCCTGGGTCAACAGTGGTCCTGGGCACAGTGGTCCTGGGGTGCAGTGGTCCTGGGCACAGTGGTCCCTGGGGGGGCAGTGGTCCTGGGGGCACAGTGGTCCTGGCAGTGGTCCTGGGGTACACTGGTCCCGGGCACAGTGGTCCCTGGGGCACAGTGGTCCTGGGGTGCAGCTGGGGCACTGGGGCACAGTGGTCCTGGGGTAGTGGTGCTGGGGCACAGTGGTCCTGGGTGGTGCAGTGGTGCACAGGGGCAGTGGTCCTGGGGTGCAGTGGTCCTGGGGCAGTGGTCCTGGGGGCACTGGTCCTGGGGCACAGTGGTCCTGGGGTACAGTGGTGCTGGGGCACAGTGGTCCTGGTACAGTGGCACAGTGGTCCTGGGGGCACAGTGGTCCTGGGCAGTGGTGCTGGGGGCACAGTGGTCCTGGGTGCAGTGGTCCCAGTGGTCCTGGGGTGCAGTGGTGCTGGGGCACACTGGTCCTGGGAGGCACAGTGGTCCTGGGGTACAGTGGTCCTGGGGCACACTGGTCCTGGGGCACAGTGGTCCTGGGGTGCAGTGGTCCTGGGGCACAGTGGTCCTGGGGGCAGTGGTCCTGAGGCACAGTGGTCCTGGGTACAGTGGTCGGGGGGGTCCTGGGGTACAGTGGTCCCTGGGGCACCTGGGGGGTCCTACAGTGGTCCTGGGGCACAGTGGTCCTGGGGCACACTGGTCCTGGGGTACAGTGGTCCTGGGGTACAGTGGTCCCTGGGGTACAGTGGTCCTGGGGTACAGTGGTCCTGGGGTACAGTGGTCCTGGGGTACAGTGGTCCTGGGGTACAGTGGTCCCTGGGGCACAGTGGTCCTGGGGCACAGTGGTACACCAGTGGTCCCGGGGCACAGTGGTCCTGGTACAGTGGTCCTGGGGCACAGTGGTCCTGGGGGGGTCCTGGGGGCACAGTGGTCCCTGGGCACAGTGGTCCCTGGGGTACAGTGGTCCTGGGGTACAGTGGTCCTGGGGGCACAGTGGTCCCTGGGGTACAGTGGTCCTGTACAGTGGTCCTGGGATCCTGTGGTACACTGGTCCTGGGGCACAGTGGTCCAGTGGTGGGGTACAGTGGTCCTGGGGTACAGTGGTCCTGGGGTACATGATCCTGTGGCAGTGGTCCTGGGGCACACAGTGGTCCTGGGGGGCACAGTGGTCCTGGGGTGCAGTGGTGGGGTGGTCCCGGGGCACAGTGGTCCGGGGTACAGTGGTCCTGGGGGCAGTGGTCCACCCAGGGTCCTGGGGTACAGTGGTCCTGGGGGTACAGTGGTCCTGGGGGCACAGTGGTCCTGGGGTACAGTGGTCCTGGGGTACAGTGGTCCTGGGGTACAGTGGTCCTGAGTGGTCCTGGGGTACAGTGGTCCTGGGGTACAGTGGTCCTGGGGTACAGTGGTCCTAGGGTATGCTATTTTTATGCTCTCTCCTGAAAGAGAATTGCACAGTTTTATGGAACTACAATGAGCTGTGAAATTGGATCATTAGATGTCGAAGATGAGGTAATTTATTTTGTTCTTTTTTGTTTGCAGTGATCATTCATGAATAGTCTGTCTGTCTGTCTGTCTGTCTGTCTGTCTGTGTCTGTCTGTCTGTCTGTGTCTGTCTGTCTACTTTATCTCAACTAATTAGAAAAAAAATCCCTAACTCAAATTATTTCCTTGTTGTTTCTATCTGTCTTTCGGTCTGTTCACTATAATCTAACTAATTACAGTTAAAGACATGCAATAAATCGTATAATTACTTAATCATCTGTCTGTCAACTCTACTCCAGCTAATTAAGGTAGAGAAATACAGGTGTTGACCAGTTAACTATAAAATGTAATTAGGTTTTCCCAGGTGCACTCTTCTCCTATATAATGTCTCCCCAATAGGAAACTATCACCTTGTCTTCTCTTGTCAAAAAAATTATCCCCTTTTCATACATCCGAAATTTTGTAATTGAAAAATTTATCTTGGTTTTAGGTTCAATATGTATGTATGTATGTATGTATGTATGTATCCATCCATCCTCTCTCCTCTCTTTAATCCACTCTAACATAACCTTCTCTTCCCTACAAACACCCGTCCTGGTTTAACCACCTCACTTGACATTTTTAACCTGAAATAACCATTCACTAATAACCATCAACATTAATTTAGTTTATCGCATCAAAAGGTTCACCGCCAAATATAGATACGATATAATGACCTTTTGGACCCAGCGTATTTATACCAATTATAAGAGGATAATTCAACTTTCAATTCATCAATCTGACTTTTTTTTTGGCTTATGGTATTTTTTTTTAATTTAATTGGATAAAAAAAGTGTGAATTCAAATCCTAAACTGTGGATAGTGGATTGTGATTGGCTAGTTAATTTTTTTTTTTGTATTTAATGAATTAGTAAATTCATCAAAACTTTCAAATGTTCCTACGATAAATTATTCTTATTAGTGGTGACTTAAGATCCAACTCTAACTATCCAATTTCAGCTAAAAAAAAATCTTCAAAATTACATAAAGACTTTACCTAAATTCGTCCCAGCTTAGTAATAACCAGCCAGGGCCTTGTGAAGAGTTAGTAAGATCTCTCTCTCTCTCTCTCTCTCACTTATACTGGACCTCCTTCCTCCCTCTCTCTTTTCTCCCCTCCTTCCCTCCCCCTTCTTTCTCTCACATTCCCCCCCCCCTTATCCCCCCTCCTCTCTCTCCCATCTGCCTCAGTACATGAAAGTCAACACCTCCTTCTCTCCAAGTTAGGTTTCCCTCTCTGAGTGCCTCCAAATGGAACTTTCCTCCATTTTACCCATTATGGTTTCCCTGGCAGAAAGGTAGAGCGAAAATGGAAATAGCGAGAGAGGAGAATGGTGAAGTGTTAAAGGGAAAGATTAAGAAATGATAGTTAATCAGAGACAAAGAGACGATTGAGAAAAAGAGAAAAGAAAATGACAATTAAGTAGATTTGAGCATGAAAATTTATAGAGAATTGAAAGATAAAAGAGAGGAATTGTATGAAAGAAAGAAGGGGAGCAGAGAGAGAGAGAGAGAGAGAGAGAGAGAGAGAGAGAACAGAGAAGAGAGAAAGTTAAAATATAAACGACAACAAAAGAATACAATTGAGAGAGAGAGAAATATAGAGAGAGAAAGAGAAAGAGAGGAAGAGAGAGAGAACATAATTAACCTCTCCCTTTTCCATATATCTCTTTCTATATATATTCTTCTCATCTCCCTCTCTCATTCTCTTTCTCTTGTTTAACTCTGCAGCAAAAAGTAAATGGTGCGTAATGACAACTTTCTATCGGGGGGAAATTTCACACGATTAAACGACCAATATCTCAGTTCAGATTTTGTTCACACTGTCAAGTCTGTGTAGTGAAGGTGAATGAGAGAAAAGATGGCGACACAGACAGACAGAGAGAGAGAGAGACATATAGGTAGATGGGCAGTGAGAGAGAGAGAGAGAGAGAGAGAGAGAGAACGCCTGTTTATAAACCTCACTCTTTCTCTCTCTTGGGGTATCTGTCTATTTACATATCTATATTTTTCCTCTCTCTCTCTCTGTCTGCCTGTCAACGTGAGTGACAACTTGTTTCAAACATCATTAATGAACTCCGTGTGTACAGTAGTGGGAGCTTGTGTGAGTGACTTTGAAACTTAGGTACAACAATTACCGATTCAGGAACAATAATAAACAACGAATGAGAGTAAATATATTAATAGTTATAATAAAAAAAACGATAAAAAATGGAATAATGAAGTGAGGAAGATTACGATACACGGAGGCCGTTTAGTGTGTCCCATCACCACGATCCTCACTCACTCAACCCAGTACCCTGAAATTATCTCCCTCAGGATTATCCCGCTAATTCCTATTCATCTCTCTCCCTCCCCCACCCTCTGCCCCCCTCCTTATCTCCCATTCCTCCTTCTCCACCCCTCTGTCCACCCCCCTCCTCTCCCCTTCTGTCCTTCTCCCTTTTCCTCCATCCCTCCTAACCCCTCTATCCCTCCTTCCTCCTCTGTCTTCTCCCTATCCTACCCACACTCCCCACATTTCTCCAAGGCGGCGGGAGGACTTTCATCTTAATCTCTAATGGGTTATAGGGATCGTGTTCTCACTGGGGAGTAGAGAGGAATGCAAATACGGGAGAGGTAAAGTGGGGGTGTGTGTCAGGGACCGTGATGTGTGGTGGCGGAGGCTGGTGTGTAGAGACGCTGATGAGAGGAATGGATTTTGATGTCACTACTCTACAGACTCACGTATATTTATATAGTAAAGTCTAAATAAAAAACAAAGAAAGAATAAATATGGTCGTACAATAAATAAGAAAAACAACGGTAGAATGAAATTGATAAATATTGAGGATATAATCTAAGGGGGTAATTATATAGCTAGTTAAATATATTCACCATGTGGACTTATACCACTGTTCCTCCCTACCATCACTACTGGACGTGATTCTTCCCTCCACATTGTAATTGATGAATAGATTAATAGTTGAGTGATTAACGTGATGCATCTATAAGTCGAGGACAATTATCATTAAGACAACACGGTGAAGAGAGAGTAATTAACGAGGATGTCTTATGAATTAGATTTTGTTTATGTTGGTCTTATAGTTAACTCGAAGTACCTGATGACAGTACCACAGCCTCAATAACATGACCAAGTAATGAATAACACCACGATCTAAACCCTTATTAAAAAACCTTGAAGTTATTTACCTTTTAAAGTTGGTTAATATATATAAAAACACGTTAACGGGACTTCAATGTTAAAAATGTTATAATAGTTTAAAATATATATATATGTGAATTTTTTGCACTTATTTGTAGAATGTTAATTGTATCATGTAGTCGTCCACACCTGAGAGTAAAAAACCAGTTGTTTCATATTTTTTCATACCGGAGTAATACCACATAGTGATATATATATATATATATATATATATATATATATATATATATATATATATATATATATATATATATATATATATATATATATATATATATATATATGTGTGTGTGTGTGTGTGTGTGTGTGTGTGTGTGTGGTGTGTGTGTGTGTGTGTGTGTGTGTGTGTGTTATAAAACCCGGTGATTTTTTCTAAACCCATATTTCAATGTAACTTTTCATACACAAATTATATCCATCACAACCATTAATAGTTTTACGTGTTATTATATACATTGTTGGGGGGCTAAATGGGGCGTTTCTTTCTCTCGTTCACTGAAACTCAATTTGTTGCAATGTGTTCAGGGATATTTGTCTCTTTAATGATCAGTCAGCATTTTTCCTGCATAATTTACAGCTAAAAGAGACGATATCTATTTATTCTGGGTTTTTTTAGCCGTGTATTTGTGAGTATGTGTACGTCAGGTGGTGTAAAATAGGTATATGAAAGGTACTTTTTTGTTGGAAGTACCTAAGAGCTTTTATGCTATTCACTCGGTATCGTAGTTGTTGTTATTGTCGTACTAATCATTGTAGTTGTTGTTATTGTAGTACTGATCATTGTAGTTGTTGTTGTTATTGTAGTACTAATCATTGTAGTTGTTGTTGTTATTGTAGTACTGATCATTGTAGTTGTTGTTATTGTAGTACTGATCATTGTAGTTGTTGTTGTTATTGTAGTACTAATCATTGTAGTTGTTGTTGTTATTGTAGTACTGATCATTGTAGTTGTTGTTGTTATTGTCGTACTAATCATTGTAGTTGTTGTTGTTATTGTAGTACTTATCATTGTAGTTGTTGTTGTTGTTATTGTCGTACTAATCATTGTAGTTGTTGTTATTGTCGTACTGATCATTGTTGTTGTTGTTGTTATTGTCGTACTGATCATTGTAGTTGTTGTTATTGTCGTACTGATCATTGTAGTTGTTGTTATTGTCGTACTGATCATTGTAGTTGTTGTTGTTATTGTAGTACTGATCATTGTTGTTGTTGTTGTTATTGTCGTACTGATCATTGTAGTTGTTGTTGTTATTGTCGTACTGATCATTGTAGTTGTTGTTGTTATTGTAGTACTGATCATTGTTGTTGTTGTTGTTGTTATCATTGCTAATCATTGTAGTTGTTGTTGTTATTCTCGTACTTGCTAATCATTGTAGTTGTTGTTGTTATTG